CTCAACTCGCCGTGTTTGGAGGAGGAGGAATGCTGCCTATAACCCCAAGAACACCATCCCCACCGTCAAACATGGAGGTGGAAACATTATGCTTTGGGGGTGTTTTTCTGCTAAGGGGACAGGACAACTTCACCGCATCAAAGGGACGATGGACGGGGCCATGTACCGTCCAATCTTGGGTGAGAACCTCCTTCCCTCAGTCAGGGCATTGAAAATGGGTCGTGGATGGGTATTCCAGCATGACAATGACCCAAAACACATGGCCAAGGCAACAAAGGAGTGGCTCAAGAAGAAGCACATTAAGGTCCTGGAGTGGCCTAGCCAGTCTCCAGACCTTAATCCCATAGAAAATCTGTGGAGGGAGCTGAAGGTTTGAGTTGCCAAACGTCAGCCTCGAAACCTTAATGACTTGGAGTAGATCTGCAAAGAGGAGTGGGACAAAATCCCTCCTGAGATGTGTGCAAACCTAGTGGCCAACTACAAGAAACGTCTGACCTCTGTGATTGCCAACAAGGGTTTTGCCACCAAGTACTAAGTCATGTTTTGCAGAGGGGTCAAACACTTATTTCCCTCATTAAAATGCAAATCAATTTATAACATTTTTTACATGCGTTTTTCTGGATTTTTTTGTTGTTATTCTGTCTCTCACTGTTCAAATAAACCTACCATAAAAATTATAGACTGATCATTTCTTTGTCAGTGGGCAAACTTACAAAATCAGCAGGGGATCAAATACTTTTTTCCCTCACTGTAAATGCATCCATTTGCCTTTGACTACCTACATTTGGTATGCCATTAGGAGTTTGGTTTCCGTGCCATTAGGGGTTGGGTTTCCCTATTTCTCAATGTGACCCATCAGGTGTTCAAACTTTTATGACGTCTGGAATGTAAATAAGTAATAAGTGCTCAGGGGGAAATAAGGAAGGGTCTGACTGTCTATAGAGTCTAGACATTCCCTGGAGATCCTGTCTGGCTGTAGGAGATCCTGTCTGGCTGTAGGAGATCCCTCTGTTCTGACCCATTATAGCCAGGCTGAGAACATTAAGCCATCTCTTACCTCTTGACAATTCATCCAGACATCAATGCAGTATTCCTTCATTTGTCATATCCAATTTGAAGGCTCCAAGGTGGTGAGTTCTGGTGTTCTATGGTGTGATACACGATCATCAGTAATTGGACTCTTGAAGGGAGAAGACATGAGCATGATGGGTTTCCATAGGTGCTGAACATTTTTAATTTGAACTGTTAGATTTAACTATGACTGAATGCTATTTGAAACGGAAGAACATTTTCTAAACGTGGAGAGAATCAATCGACAGTCTAGATTGAAATAAAATCACCCTTCTGCATTTGGACTAGTTCATCTCTGTATCCCTCTTCCATCCTCACTTCAGCCATTTATCATTTCTGCATTGATAATTTCTGGAGTGTGATAATGGTGGTCAGTGGGAATACAGTGAGAGCAGGGAGACACATTTACCATGTGAAAAATGTGTGCTGATACAATCTCTGGTGATGTGATAGTTTGCAGAGGTAATTCACTTCTGGGATCCTATTTTCTGCTTTATCCCCATTCTGGAGAGAATTATGTTCTGAAAGTTAGGAAAAGTCTGATTTCCCCTCAGGTTTGTTCTAGTTCGCCATGCCTTGGCATGGCCTACTTCCACTGATTTTATAACAACATATACCACAAATGTACTTAATTTTCACAAGATGGTCTCTGTTCCCCTTGATGACAAATTGATTGACTGCAAGTAAATTCTGTCACATCATGTTCTTCCGAAATAAAAGATCCCAGAAATTTTCCAGATGCACAAAATGCTTATTTCTCAAATTTGGTGCACACATTTGTTTACATCCCTGTTAGTGAGCATTTCTCCTTTGCCAAGATAATCCATCCACCTGACAGGTGTGGCATATCAAGAAGCTGATTTAAACAGCATGATCATTACACAGGTGCACCTTGTGCTGGGACAATAAAAGGCTACTCTAAAATTAGCAGTTTTGTCACACAAGACAATGCCACAGATGAGTATTTCTGTCTGTAATAAAGCCCTTCTGATTGGCTGGGCCTAGCTCCCCAGTGGGTGGGCCTATGCCCTCCCAGGCCCAACCATGGCTGTGCCCCTGCCCAGTTGTGAAATCCATAGATTAGGGCCTAATTTATTTATTTCAATTGACTGATTTCCTTTTATGAACTGTAACTCAGTAAAATCGTTATTTGTTGCATGTTGTGTTTATATTTTTGTTCAGTATAATTTGTATTGTTTGAGGATGGATATCATTAGAATAATACCCAGTGTGCTTTGCAAATGTTCATTTTCACATAACATTTGTCATTTAGCAGACGCTTTTATCACACCATAGGGGCATCACACTTCTGATACTAATGCAGGACATTTGGGGCGATAGAGGGCCACAAAATTTTGAGCCGCTATACAGTTTTTTATAGAAAAGTACTGTATTTTTTTACATTTAAATTGTAACTAATTACAAAATACATTGCATTGTAGTTCAGGCCAGTGAAATACAAAATACTCAAAAGCAACTGAAATGCGTATTTCAAAAACATATACTGTAACAGAAATACTGCCCATCTCTGTTTCATCATGCAACAGTGGATCAACTCACCAAAAGGCATGAGTACATCAAGGGTGTGAAAAATATAAGCTATGCAAAATGTTATCACTCCCTTTTTAACCTGGGTAATATTATGCGTACTAATAATAATATGCCATTTAGCAGACGCTTTTATCCTAAGCGACTTATAGTCATGTGTGCATACATTTTTACGTATGGGTGGTCCCGGGGATCGAACCCACTACCCACAATTGCACTGCCAGCTGTCCTGAGGCATGAGTAAATACTATTTTTATACTCTAGTCTAAACTGTATCATACAGTAACTGAATTGGCAATACTTTATATAGAGAAGCGATAGCTTTCTCAGAAAACTGAGAATTGACCCGGCGCAAAGAGCACTCGCAACAAACCAGTATATCTAGATTGAAGGTGCCTCAGTCAGAGCACATTTTTCAGGTAAGCTCTGAAAATGGATGAGGTGAATCATGTAGTGTGGGTACGCACATACACACACAAGTTGTATGGACTACTGGGCATTATTGTGTTGTGCTGTAGATGCAACAGTGTCTTGTGATACATTCCGGATGTTGGATAAATGGCATGTAATCGCATCATTAAGCTATTGGTCGCATTATGCTAATATCCGCAGGGTTTTGTATTCAGGGAAGAGAATAATCATGTGAGCCACTGACTGCTGCTGTGCTGCTGCTGCACATGTAGAGCTGTTTACTAGGAAAATACATCTCTAGTAAGTCAGCCTGCCTGCGGTTGCAATGTCTGTAGTGTACGCTCACTGTAGTTCTCCATTCAGAGAACCGTTTTCGGTAATGAGTGTGGCTTACAGTAATAAAATGTTCTGTATTACCTGTTGTTGAAAATAAACTAAGGGTGAATTTAACATGTTTTAAGCTTTTTAAATAATTGATAAAAAAAACTGCAGGATGCGTACAAAACACCCATTTATAGGATTGAATGTGTGGCATCCACTTAAAATGAAAATCCATTGGAAATGAGTGAACTAATGTGATATAGAAATCAATGGTTTGTGTTCTACATCAGTACAGCCTAACAGCTTGCCTCCAGAGTACAGAATAAAAGAGCTGGATCATGCTTGAAAATCAGACATTTTATAGAGCTGTTGACTGACACCTGGTGGTTTAAAGTAATCTATGATGTATCATTATTATTGTTGAATCTCCTGTTGTATGAGAAAAGTGAACACTAGAAGCTTGTGATAATAAATATTATATTTGGATTCTGGGTACAGAGCATTGTAGTGACATTATCTTGAACCATTTGGAAGGAACACAATACATTTCCAGATTAATCACTTCCCCCATAACTTTATTAGGCAAGCTGGTGATACATGTTAACTGTGTACTATGCTAATTCAGGATACTGTGAAAACATTGTGAGAAACAACAACCACAATCTACATCTGAATTCATTAGCAAATTGCATAGATTATTGGCTACACTACCTTAATAAAATATAGAAGACATCACAGGAGGTTGGTGGCATCTTATTTGGGGAGAATGGGCTTGTGGTAATGACTGGAGCGGAATTAGTGGAACGCTATAAAATACATCAAACACATGGTTTCCAGGTGTTTGATGCCATTCCATTTGCGCTGTTCCGGCCATTATTATGAGCCGTTCTCCCCTCAGCAGCCTCCACTGGAAGACATACACAAAATGCATTTTGAGAGACACAAAGGGAAACAGAGTTGGTATTTCTACAGTATTTCCACAGTATTATAGGCTGCTGATCATATCTAATCTACTGATCTGTACTAGGCTGCTGATCTGTACTAGAGATACTAAATGCTCAGACGGTAGTGATATTAAAAACATACCAGATAGTGGGCGATAATACAGTATCCTGAGTGGGTGATCTGAGTTATGCTCAGATAGATGCTGCTCTTCCAGCTGACACAGTGTTGTTGACAGAGGACCATGCAGGCAGGCAGGCTAGTTGTTAATAGACAAACTATCTGGATCCATGTCTGTTTTATTCAATTGGTTCTCACTTCTGGTCGGCTCTTCATCTTAGAGAGGTGACGTGAAAACAAACACTTTGAGATCGATCCATTGTTGTTCAGACTGAGGCTGCTCTCAGGGCGGGTTTCCCAGACACAGATTAAGCCTAGTCCCGGACTAAAAAACTATTATAATGCATGTTTCAATGCATGCTTTTTAGTCCAGGATCAGCGTTCATCTGTGTCCAGGAAACCAGCCCTTAATGAGCATGGATGTTTTTACCGTAGAGATGCTAACCATTACCATATCAGACTCGCTTTCTACTTGAATGAGTCAAAACGTGGGCCAGTGACCCATCTCTGCTGTCAGTTGTGGCAGGGTTGAGAACTCTAAAGGGTTTGAAATCATTTAATTCATTCCAATGTCTTTTTCCTCCTGGTTACCTCTTCTCAGAGGCCTGCAGCACCTGTTCGTAGGGTGGAGGAGGGAGGTTGCAGTAGGCCGGAGGGGGAGGGGGAGGGGTAGGGTGTGAGTAGGGTTCTGCCATGTGGGAGGGGTGGACCGGGTGGGGATGGGCCTGTATGGGGTATGTAGGGGTGAGGATCATCCCTCCTGAGGCTCCATAGTTTTGCATGCCGGGCTGCTGCAGTCCTAGTGGACAAAGAGAGTAGAGAAATGGGACTTACCAAGGTCACCATCTATGTATTGTGTATTGTGTAATATTTTGTTTCATAAGGTTGACGTAAATAACGGGGCCAGCAATAAAGGGCAGATCACGACACACCCAATACCACTATCCTCTAGACTTCTGCATTGTGACAGCTACATTTCCTGACTGCTATAGTGAAAGCTGAACTGAGTGATGTTTGGGGTTAGAGAGTATGTGTTACATGCATGAATATGAATAAGCAGCATTTCTCTCCAACAGCTCAGTTTCCATTGGTCCACTTAGGGACAAGGATGAACCATGGTGCAGCACTGAACTAGAACATATCACGTTTTAAACCTCAACACATAACATATGGAATATTAGCATCATTATGTTTTACTCCTACTCCCTCCAGAGCCAGAACATGATATATTAATACCCATATTTCCAGGTCAGTGACTGCAGGGGCTTGGAGGAGTGTCTGTGTGTGTGTGTGTGTGTGTGTGTGTGTGTGTGTGTGTGTGTGTGAGGAGGAGGAGGGAATAGGGTGCCATTTGGGATGCAGATCCAGAATCAGAAGTAGAGTCAATCACTGTACTGTATGAGATCAGAGACACATGTCCTATCTGTCCCAGTCTCAGAAGTTACTGAGGACTGGAGCAAACTGAGAAAAGTTCATTTGTACTGCTGTGTATAAATTACTGCACTGAGTCTGTGGAATAGTGAGCAATGAAATGAGAAGGAGACAAGGACATGAGTAGATGGGGGGAGTGGGAGATAAAGTGAGGGAAGGAAAAAAGGAGATCTGGAGAGAGGATGTGGGTGTTGAATGGGAAAATAAAAGGAAGGAGGTATCACTTGCAAAGACAGGATATAGAGTGAGGGTAGGGAGAATGGGAGAGGATGTATAAGTATGATAGGAAGATGACATCACACAAGGCGGTTGGTGTGAATGTGACTCACCTGTCATTGGGTGTCTGGTGAATGACACATTGAAGGTGTCCTCAGGAAGGGGGGAGGGGTTAATGCGTCTGCGGATGAAGAACCCCGCCCCACAGCAGAACAACACGCCCATCATCAGCAGTAGCCTGCAAACACAGACAGCAACACTTGAACGTTAGTCAGAACGTTATACAAGCTCCGTCAACTCCAATCCAATATGTACCATAAATACATAGCCTTACAGAGACAGAATGAGATACATGAAAGAGAGAGAGAGCTGGAAGATGTTCTGACCTTACGAGGAAAATAGACCTCCATGCATTGAGTCCTCCGACATCAACGGTAGAATTTGAAAGACCTTAAATGCTCAATTTAATGGAGTTAAAGAGAGTTCATCCTTGACAGTCTAGTAAAATAATTTCCCAATAGCCCAGTATTGATAGAAATTGGACAATCATGTGTATTTCAAAGCAGCTCTGTGTCTCTGAACATTTGAAAAGGCTGAGGAACCTTGGATTGTCTGTTCTGTCACCAAAACGTCCTCATAATAGTGTTATCGAATAGTGTTATTCAAGCTACTTCAAAGACGGGACATGGATAATATACACTACCGTTCATAAGTTTGGGGTCACTTAGAAATGTCCTTGTTTTCGAAAGAAAAGCAATTTTTTTCTCCATTAAAATAACATCAAATTGATCAGAAATACATTGTTGACATTGTTAGTGTTGTAAATGGCTATTGTAGCTGGAAACAGCTGATTTTTTATGGAATATCTACATAGGCATACAGAGGCCATATCTCAGACTGGCCAATAAAAATAAAAGATTAAGATGAGCAGTCTGAGATATGGCTTTTCTATGCAACTCTGCCTAGAAGGTCAGCGTCCTGGAGTCGCCTCTTCACTGTTGACGTTGAGACTGGTATTTTGTGGGTACTATTTAATGAAGCTGCCAGTTGAGGACCTGTGAGGCGTCTGTTTCTCAAACTAGACACTCTAATGTATTTGTCCTCTTGCTCAGTTGTGCACCGGGGCCTCCCACTCCTCTTTCTATTCTGGTTAGAGCCAGTTTGCACTGTTCTGTGAAGGGAGTAGTACACAGCGTTGTACAAGATCTTCAGTTTCTTGGCAATTTCTCGCATGGAATAGCCTTCATTTCTCAGAACAAGAATAGACTGACGAGCTTCAGAAGAAAGTTCTTTGTTTCTGGCCATTTTGAGCCTGTAATCGACCCACAATTGCTGATGCTCCAGATACTCAACTAATTGCAAAATGGTTTTCTAATGATCAATTAGCCTTTTAAAATGATAAACTTGGATTAGCAAACACAACGTGCCATTGGAACACAGGACTGATGGCTTCTGATAATGGGTCTCTGTACGCCTATGTAGATATTCCATTAAAAATCAGCCGTTTCCAGCTACAATAGCCATTTACAACATTAACAATGTCTACACTGTATTTCTGCTCAATTTGATGTTATTTTAATGGACAAAAAAATTGCTTTTCTTTCGAAAACAAGGACATTTCTAAGTGAACCCACATTTTTGAACGGTAGTGTACATCTCGCTGGCTTTTCCATGCATCATCTAGACCAGACGGTAGCTTCAGATAAGGCGAAGGGGTGAGGTGTGTGTCTCTTTGTTAATAACAGCTGGTGCGTGATCTCTAATGTAAAGAAATTCTCAAGTTTTTGTTCGCCTGAGTTAGAATACCTCATGATAAGCTGCAGACCATACTATTTACCAAGAGAGTTTTAATCTATATTTTTCATAGCTGTCTATTTACCACCACAAACTGATGCTGGCACTAAGACCGCACTCAACGGGCCATAAGCACACTTGAAAATGCACATCCAGCTTCTCGAGGCCAGTGATTTTAATGCGGGGAAACTGAAATCCGTTTTACCTCATTTTTACTAGCATGTCACCTGTGCTAGAGGAGGCGAAACACTTGATCACCTTTATGCCACACAAAGAAACACATACAAAGCTCTCCCTCGCCCACCCTTCAGCAAATCTGACCATAACTCTATCCTCCTGATTCCTGCTGTCAAGCAAAAACTCAAACAGAAAGTACCAGTGATGAGCAAAAACTCAAACAGGAAGTACCAGCTCAATACGGAAGTGGTCCGATGAAGCGTATGCTAAGCTATAGGACTGTTTTGCAAGCAGACTGGAATATGTTACGCGATTCATCCGATAACATTGACAAGTTTACTACATCAATCACCGGTTTCATTAAGTGCATCAACGACATCGTCCCCACAGTGACATGTCCCAACCAAAAGCAATGGATTATAGGCAACATCCGTACTGAGCTAAAGGCTAGAGCTGACGCTTTCAAGGAACGGGACACTAATCCAGACCCAGTCTGTAATGCCTACATGTTTCAAGCAGATCACCATAGTCCGTGTGTCCAAGAATGCCAAGGTAACTTGTCTAAATGATTATCACCCCATAGTACTAACATCTGTAGCTATGAAATGCTTTGAAAGGCTGGTCATGGCTCACATCAACACCATCATCCCAGACACCCTGAACATACTCCAATTCGCATAATGCCCCAACAGATCCACAGATGATGCAATCTCTATTGCACTCCACACCGCCCTCTCCCACCTGGATAAGAGGAACACCTATGTGAGAATGCTGTTCATTGACTACAGCTCAGCGTTCAACACCATAGTGCCTTCCGAGCTCATCACTATGCTCAGGACCCTGCGACTGAACACCTCCCTCTGCAACTGGATCTTGGACTTCTTGACAGGCCGCCCCCAGGTGGTGAAGGTAGGCAACAACACACCCGCCATGCTGGGGGCCCTTCTGGTGTGTGCTTAGTCCCCTCCTGTACTCCCTGTTCACCCACGACTGTGTGGCCGCGCACAACTTCAATACCATCATTAAGTTTGCTGACGACAAGACGGTGGTAGGCCTGATCACCGACGATGATGAGACAGCCTACAGGGAGGAGGTTAGTGACCTGGCAGTGTGGTAACAGGACAACAACATTTCCATCAAAGTTAGCAAGACAAAGGAGCTGATTGTTGACTACAGGAAACGGAGGGCAGAGCACGCCCCCATCTACATCGACGGGGCTGTAGTGGAGAGGTTCAAGAGCATCAAGTTCCTCTATGTCCACATCACTAAGGAATTAACATGGTCCACACACACCAACACAGTCGTGAAGAAGGCAGGACAACGCCTCTTCCCCCTCAGGAGGCTGAACAGAATTGGCATGGGCCCTCAGATCCTCAAAAAGTTCTACAGCTGCACCATTAAGGGCATCTTGACTGGCTGTATCACCGCTTGGTATAGCAACTGCTTGGCATCCGACCGCAAGGCGCTACAGAGGGTAGCGCGTACGGCCCAGTACATCACTGGAGCTGAGCTCCCTGCCATCCAGGACCTCTATACCAGGCAGTGTCAGAAGAGAAAGGCCCTCAAAATTGTCAAAGACTCCAGCCACCCAAGTCATAGACTATTCTCTCTGCTACCACACGGCAAGCTGTACCGATGCACCAAGTCTGGAACCAACAGGACCCTGAACAGCTTCTACCCCCAAGCCATAAGACTGCTAAATAGTTAACCAAATAGCTACCCAGACTATCTGCATTGACCTCCTTTGCACCAACTTTTTAACTCATCACATACTGTACGCTGCTGCTACTGCTTATTATCTAGTCACTTTACCCCTACCTACAGTGCATTCGGAAAGTATTCAGACCCCTTAACTTTTTCCACATTTTGTTATGTTACAGCCTTATTCTAAAATGGATTCAATCGTTTTTTTCCCCCTCATCAATCTACACACAATACCCCATAAAAATAAAAACGGAAATATTACATTTACATAAGTATTCAGACCCTTTACTCAGTACTTTGTTGAAGCACCTTTGGCAGCGATTACAGCCTCATGCTTAGGGTCGTTGTCCTGTGGGAAGGTGAACCTTCGCCTCAGTCTAAGGTCCTGAGCGCTCTGGAGCAGGTTTTCATCAAGGATCTCTCTGTACTTTGCGCCGTTCATATTTGCCTCGATCCTGACTAGTCTCCCAGTCCCTGCCGCTGAAAAACATCCACACAGCGTGATGTTGCCACCACCATGCTTCACCGTAGGGTTGGTGCCAGGTTTCCTCCAGACGTGACGTTTGGCATTCACGCCAAAGAGTTCAATCTTGGTTTCATCAGACCAGAGAATCTCGCTTCTCATGGTCTGAGAGTCTTTAGGTGCCTTTTGGCAAACTCCAAGCGGGCTGTCATGTGCCTTTTACTGAGGAGTGGCTTCCGTCTGGCCACTTTACCATAAAGGCTTGATTTGTGGAGTGCTGCAGAGATGGTTGTCCTTCTGGAAGGGTCTCCCATCTCCACAGAGGAACTCTAGAGCTCTGTCAGAGTGACCATCGGGTTATTGGTCACCTCCCTGACCAAGGCCCTTCTCCCCTGATTGCTCAGTTTGGCCGGGTGGCCAGCTCTAGGAAGAGTCTCGGTGGTCCCAAACGTATTCCTTTTAAGAATGATGGATGCCACTGTGTTCTTGGGGACCTTCAATGCTGCAGAAATGTTTTGGTACCCTTCCCCAGATCCGTGCATCGACACAATCCTGTCTCGGAGCACTACGGACAATTTCTTCGACCTCATGGCTTGGTTTTTGCTCTGACATGCACTGTCAACTATATAGACAGGTGTGTGCCTTTCCAAATCATGTCTAATCAATTGAATTTATCCAATCAAGTTGTAGAAACATCTCAAGGATGATCAATGGAAACAGGATGCACCTGAGCTCAATTTCGAGACTCATAGCAAAGGGTTTGAATACTTATGTAAATAAGGTATCTGTTTGTTTGTTTTAATACATTTGCAAAAATTTCAAAAAAACTGTTTTCGCTTTGTCATTATGCGGTATTGTGTGTAGATTGCTGTGGATATATTTATTTTTTAATCCATTTTATAATAAGACTGTAACGTAACAAAATGTGGAAAAAGTCAAGGGGTCTGAATACTTCCTGAAGGCACTTTATATGTACATACAGTGCCTTCAGGAAGTATTCACACCCCTTTACTTTTTCCCCATTTTGTTGTGTTACAGCCTGAATTTAAAATGGATTAAATTCAGATTTTGTGTATCTACACACAACACCCCATGATGTCAAAGTGGAATTTTGTTTGTAGAAAATATTGGAAATTAATATTAAATTAAAAGCTGAAATGTCTTGAGTCAATAAGTGTTCAACCCCTTTGTTATGGCAAGCCTAAATAGGTTCAGGAGTAAAAATGTGCTTAACAATTATGCATGGACTCATTCTGTGTTCAATAATAGTGGTTAACGTGATTTTTGAATGACTACCCCATCTCTGTACCACACACATACGATTATCTGTAAGGTCCCTCAATCAAGTAGTTGAGTTACTGACGTGATCTTCCTGTCTGGGTTGGCGCCCCCCCTTGGTTTGTGCTGTGGTGGAGACCTCTGTGGGCTATACTCGGCCTTGTCTCAGGATTGTAAGTTGGTGGTTGAGGATATCCCTCTAGTGGTGCGGGGGCTGTGCTTTGGCAGAGTGGGTGGGGTTATATCCTTCCTGTTTGGCCCTGTCCGGGGGTTTCTTCGGATGGGGCCACAGTGTCTCCGGACCGCTCCTGTCTCAGCCTCCAGTATTTATGCTGCAGTAGTTTATGTGTCGGGGGGCTGGGGTTAGTTGGTTATACCTGGAGTACTTCTCCTGTCTTATCCAGTGTCCTGTGTGAATTTAAGTATGCTCTCTCTAATTCTCTCGTTCTCTCTTTCTCTCTGAGAACCTGAGCCCTAGGACCATACGTCAGGACTACCGGGCATGCTGACACCTTGCTGTCCCCAGTCCGCCTGGCCTTGCTGCTATTCCAGTTTCAACTGTTCTGCCTGCAGTTACGAAACCCCTACCTGTCCCAGACCTGCTGTTTTCAACTCTTAATGATCGGCTATGAAAAGCCAACTGAGAGACCTGAGCCCTAGGACCATACGTCGGGACTACCGGCCGTGGTGACTCCTTGCTGTCCCCAGTCCGCCTGGCCTTGCTGCTATTCCAGTTTCAACTGTTCTGCCTGCGGTTATGGAACCCCTACCTGTCCCAGACCTGCTGTTTTCAACTCTTAATGATCGGCTATGAAAAGCCAACTGAGATTTATTCCTGATTATTATTTGACCATGCTTGTCACTTATGAACATTTTTGAACATCTTAGCATGGTTCTGTTATAATCTCCACCCGGCACAGCCAGAAGAGGACTGGCCACCCCTCATAGCCTGGTTCCTCTCTAGGTTTCTTCCTAGGTTTTGGCCTTTCTAGGGAGTTTTTCCTAGCCACCGTGCTTCTACACCTGCATTACTAGCTGTTTGGGGTTTTAGGCTGGGTTTCTGTACAGCACTTCGAGATATCAGCTGATGTACGAAGGGCTATATAAAATAAAATTGATTGATTGATTGAAGTAGTGAGTTTGGTAGATGTGTGTTAAAAAGTAATCTCCACTCCTGTTCCAGTGAAAATGTAGCCTACATTTGGAGTTCATATTAAGGCTATTGTAAATAAGAATTTGTTCTGAACTGACTTGCCTAGTTAAATAAAGGTTAAATAAATACAAATACAAAAATATTAAGGCTATGTGAGAGGTTATAGACCTACAGTCACTGTCCAGATTTTCAGTTTTCGATCTGAAGAGTAGGCTACATACAGTTCCCTTGACGTGTCATAGGCCTATTTGAAGTCCCCTTCTTTTGACTGTCGAATTTGTATAGGACCTCATAATCATCACACATAACATAGCTAGCACTGCTATCATCCTCTTTTACCACTTCACCAAATCTTTCCAAAACATTACTTTTCTGGCCCTCCCTTCTCTTTATTTTCAATTCTCCATTTCGCAGATTTTCTGTTATTGAATTAAACGCCAACATTGTCCTTTTTGCCTCAGTGGATCGATGCTAACTTTTTCTGCCCGTTCCCAAATAGCATTTGGCATTAATAATAATAATAATATGCCATTTAGCAGACGCTTTTATCCAAAGCGACTTACAGTCATGTGTGCATACATTTTTACGTATGGGTGGTCCCGGGGATCGAACCCACTACCCTGGCATTACAAGCGCCATGCTCTACCAATTGAGCTACAGAGGACCACGCATTGGCGTGTAGGCGAGCGTACAGTTAGATCCTAAAGTATGAAAAAAATGTATGCACTCACTAACTGTAAGTCGCTCTGGATAAGAGCGTCTGCTAAATGACTAAAATGTAAATGTAAAGCTTAGGTTTACGCACTAATGCCAGATAGCCTAAAATAATGAAAGAAAAACCTCAATGTAGCCTAAATTGTACAATGAATATTTTAAAAGTAGGCTATTGTTTTCTCTTTATTCAACCCGCCCTTCATCCACACAATATTTAATGACCCTAAACCCGCCCAACCTGTGGAAATAACTGCGGGGACTGCGGGTTATGAGTCAACCCGCGCATCACTAACATGCACGCATGCACAGAGCAGTTTCTACAATGACTGAATTGCATATTAAGATCATGTCATAACAATCAACCCACTGGGCACACACTGGTCGAATAAATGTAGTTTCCACGTCATTTCAATTAAATTACTTTGAACCAACGTGGCATACATGTTGAATTGACATCTGTGCCCAGTGGGAAGCATTTCACTGTGAGCCAGTGTAGCTATTCTAAGCTGCAGCAAGAAACCGTCACGAGGGGCATGGTCTTAAGTAGAAACAAAGGAGCTCCCAAAGGACCATAAACTCTGTGAAGAAACCAGTGTCTTATGCATAAATGCACACAAGTATATACAGGGGGTAAGTTGGGTAGAGACAGCGAGAGAAGGAGAGGAGAGAGAGTGCGAGCGAGAGAATAAGAGAGAGAAAGCGAGAGAAAGAAAGAGAAAGCAAGAGAAAGAGAAAGCGAGAGATAGAGGATGGAGAGTAGGAGGAAGGAGGGAGTAGATGAAATAGAGTAGTGTGAGAAGCTAGACTGGCAGGCTAGTCTTGGGGGAACTCACCAGAAATACCATAGTCTCTGGATGGAGAGGGCTCGGACACAGCACCGTGTCCCACAACAGTCCTCATACGACCGGCATCTACAACACACACACACACACACACACACACAGAGGAAGCTTTTATTACAATCACCAGCATCTAGAATATTGAGAGAGAAGGCTTTTGTACAAACAGTATAGTCCTCCAACAACCCTATCAAAACACATTCAGACAAATGGCAGTTCTCATATGCACAGTACTGAGGTAAAAGTCTGAGACAAATACCAAGAGGCCCAGTAGAATAGACATGTCAAGCAGATGACAAACGCTCTGCGGTCTAAGATGAATATTAAGTCAACTATTGAGGGAGCACTAGGTTTAGTTCCATTTTCTTTTCAGTTTGTCTTGAGTCCCTGAGCTGAAGTTGGATAGCTATCTAAACCCCCTGCAGATCAATTGTCAGCATCTGTATACAGGAGAGCTGATGATGAATTGCTCTCATTGTGATGCCTTTACTTGTATGGTATGTTCAACGGAATCAAGAGTTGGTTCCATTGAACATACCATACAAATAAAGGCATTTTAATCAATGATATGATGAGTGCCTTGGTCCTCCTTTCTTTTTGATGACCAATTTACCCCTTTTACCAAAGAGCACCTTCTACAGTGAAGGAAAAAAGTATTTGATCCCCTGCTGATTTTGTACGTTTGCCCACTGACAAAGAAATGATCAGTCTATAATTTTAATGGTAGGTTTATTTGAACAGTGAGAGACAGAATAACAACAAAAACATACAGAAAAACGCATGTCGAAAATTGTATTAGTTGATTTGCATTTTAATGAGGGAAATAAGTATTTGACCCCCTCTCAATCAGAAAGATTTCTGGCTCCCAGGTGTCTTTTCTACAGGTAACGAGCTGAGATTAGGAGCACACTCTTAAAGGGAGTGCTCCTAATCTCTGTCTATTACCTGTATAAAAGACACCTGTCCACAGAAGCAATCAATCAATCAGATTCCAAACTCTCCACCATGGCCAAGACCAAAGAGCTCTCCAAGGATTTCAGGGACAATATTGTAGACCTACACAAGGCTGGAATGGGCTACAAGACCATCGCCAAGCAGCTTAGTGAGAAGGTGCCAACAGTTGGTGCGATGAGATTATTCGCAAATGGAAGAAACACAAAATAACTGTCAATCTCCCTCGGTCTGGGGCTCCATGCAAGATCTCACCTCGTGGAGTTGCAATGATCATGAGAACGGTGAGGAATCAGCCCAGAACTACATGGGAGGATCTTGTCAATGATCTCAAGGCAGTTGGGACCATAGTCACCAAGAAAACAATTGGTAACACACTACGCCGTGAAGGACTGAAATCCTGCAGCGCCCGCAAGGTCCCCCTGCTCAAGAAAGCACATATACAGGGCCGTCTGAAGTTTGCCAATGAACATCTGAATGATTCAGAGGAGAACTGGGTGAAAGTGTTGAGGTCAGATGAGACCAAAATCGAGCTCTTTGGCATCAACTCAACTCGCCGTGTTTGGAGAAGGAGGAATGCTGCCTATGACCCCAAGAACACCATGGAAACGTTATGCTTTGGGGGTGTTTTTCTGCTAAGGGGACAGGACAACTTCACCGCATCAAAGGGACGATGGACGGGGCCATGTACCGTCAAATCTTGGGTGAGAACCTCCTTCCCTCAGCCAGGGCATTGAAAATGGGTCGTGGATGGGTATTCCAGCATGACAATGACCCAAAACACACGTCCAAGGCAACAAAGGAGTGGCTCAAGAAGAAGCACATTAAGGTCCTGGAGTGGCCTAGCCAGTCTCCAGACCTTAATCCCATAGAAAATCTGTGGAGGGAGCTGAATGTTCGAGTTGCCAAACGTCAGCCTCGAAACCTTAATGACTTGGAGAAGATCTGCAAAGAGGAGTGGGACAAAATCCCTCCTGAGATGTGTGCAAACCTGGTGGCCAACTACAAGAAACGTCTGACCTCTGTGATTGCCAGCAAGGGTTTTGCCACCAGTACTAAGTCATGTTTTGCAGAGGGGTCAAATACTTATTTCCCTCATAAAAATGCAAATCAATTGATAACATTTTTGACATGCGTTTTTCTGGATTTTTGTGTTGTTATTCTGTCTCTCACTGTTCAAATAAACCTACCATTAAAATTATAGACTGATCATGTCTTTGTCAGTGGGCAAACGTACAAAATCAGCAGGGGATCAAATACTTTTTTCCCTCACTGTATCTACAAAGATCTACTATTGCTTACCCTAGCAGCGCTTTCCTTCCTTTTTTTCTCCTACATGCTCTCATTGTGACTTGACTACTGTGCGCACGCTCACACACAAAACATTTTATAATGTCAAATATAGGAACTTTTAGTTAAGAATGAATCATACTTAGTCATTAAAGTAAGTAGAAATTCATTAACTTTAACAAATTACTTTTATAGTTTTTTCTCTGTTGATGGGGCAGTGCTTAGTGTGAGGCAGAGATGTGACTTGGCAGTTGCAGGCTTCAGATCTGCCCTGCGCAGAGAGCAGCGGTGTCTGATGTTTTTCAAGGGCGGATAGAAGCTTCAGTTTTAAACATAGAGGAGAGATGATTTATGGCATCGTTACAGATTTCAGAGAAATGTTCATCATCCACTGAGCTGCACTGGACATCAAATCCTCTGGCTAAATAGACGGCAATCCACTTTCATGACAAATCCTCCTCAACATTTAAAATACTCCCTCTCCTACTGTCAGTATTTTGTACTGTATTTTAAAACCAGCAGTACTATAAGGGTGAGAGCTGCATTTCCAGCTTTCAGCATTAAGGCCATACATTACACAAGTCATTAGCAGCACAGCCCTAGGAGAGGGCATAGAGCTGAGCCAGCATTCTCTTAATAGTGCACTATTTCAATTCCACAGTCGGCCTGCAATATACTGTATTTCATTAGATCTGTGTGTGCACTATTTTACAGAGGCAATCCAATACATATCCCCCAGTCACTGCCGCATGCTAACTCCCAGTAATGCTCTCCTCTCTCTCCCACCATAACTCCAACTCTAACCTCAGGCTTTACATTTTTAATAACTCCTACTGATGCACCACCACTGTAGTGCATTTCTAAAAGCTCCTCATACATTGAAAATGAGGCCTTTCTAAAAGCAAGTGGTAGAATTCTGCAGCCAGCCTAGTGGCTAACATGTCTTTATAATTGCAAAGACTTGGTCTGAAGACTAATGATTAGCCCATTAGTTAAATGATTTAGATAAAAATCAAAGAGCTTCTCCAATGTGATTTCTTAACCCAGTGGATGCTGTGTAGTCTCAAAAACCCGACCCTAGGCAACACAGTGACTAGGGTCTGGTTTCAATGATGGAGTCTTTAGTCATAGAGGAACTACGTCACTACTTTATCCGCTTAAATAAAATACTAAATAGTAGCTAGCAAGATGGAAATCACAAAGGTTATTTTTAATGAGTGCATTTCGCAAGTGGCTAGTTTGCATCAACTACTTTAACTAAAACCCCTGCAACGGTTTTGCCTGCAAACTTTGGTTTTGAATCCCGACATTCTGGCATGTCTGCCTTGTGATTTGTTGGGAGAGTCCCCAGATTTTCCCCCCCTTATCAATGTAGGCAGTGACGTAGTTCTTCTATGCCAAAAGAGTCCATCATAGAAACCAGACCCTAATCACTGTGTTGCCTAGGGTCAGGTTTTCGAGACAGTTGGATTTCATGATTGGATTTGGAAAAGCTACAGCTTATTCATTCTTTCCCCTCGCCGCTTCGACGGCAGGCTATTTGAATGACTGCCTAAATGAGTCTGCTATGATAGTGGACTGAGTCAAAGGCTGGTATTGACTCATTATAACGTTACCAACCTGGGTGATTTCTCTGTATTCATCCACATCCAGGGACCATTTTCTTTAATCAAACACCACCCGGCCTTTAAACAAGCCAGAGGGAATCAATAGACTGCGCTCTTAAAGTTCACAAACAGTTTAATCTGAATGGCAGAATGTTGAAAACTAATAAATATGTCTTGTAAAATATGAATGTCTTACTATTAACAATTAATATACAGTATGCTGCAATGTAATTTTGTCTGTGTCCAGATTAATTCTGTTACACCTATGTGTATGTACAGTATACTTACATGAAATAGATGGGGTAGCCTCCTTCAAAATACCAGCAGTACTTCTTGGAAGCTGTGCACTGTCAATGAGAAGAGGAAAACTGGTCATTGATTTATAGTTGCTGGTATGAAATCAAAGAGCAATCTCAGAGGGAAAATGAAGCATCATGATAAAATCATCTTGAAAGGCAGAAGAGAAATTAGAGAACATGTTGAATGACCATTGTGTTTGGCATGTAAACATGTCAATCATGTGAATTCCTTGTAGTTGTATTTCTCTGTGATGTGCCAAATGTGACCACCAAACAGGACTTAGTTGTCTTGTCATTAACATTGGTATTATAAATATCACTTACTGTAAGCAAAGTTCATATTTCATGAACCAAACTTCCATTTCATGCAATGCTCTATGTTCAGACGCCAACTCAAGATGATTGTGAACCGCTGACTGCAAAGTCCAGACGAGACCAGAACCCACTCTGCACACACACAATGCAGCCTCTGTCAGACCAGGCCCAGAGCTTTGTGTATAACAAGCCTCTAAATGAGGTACTGGAGAAAAACGGGCTGTGTACTCTCACTATTACTGCCCTCACTAGACATAATCACACACTATTCCCCTGTGTTCTTTTCTGAGGCTCTGGCTTGTATGATGATGAGACATCCACTTTGTTTGATGTCCTTCCATCACCATGTAAGGTATGTGTGAGCTGTGAGGCGAGCCAGCTAGCATTGCCCTTGTTTGATGGGAGTAATTGTGGGAAACACTCCAGCCTTTTTTCCACACCAGCCTGCCAGGTGGATGTTTGTGTCCACGGTCAATTGCAGCTAGCAGGGTGTCCCTTCCAAATACAGTCATGGCAGGGGGACACAAAGGCAGCCCCTGAGCAGGACTGGAGCCTGCCTTTGTGGTCACGGAAAGGACCACAAAGAGCTGTTTGTCAGTGCTTCAGCTCTGTGACAATTAACAATGGTTAGCAGAGGAAGAGCTGCCTCGTGTGTGTGTGTGTGTGTGTGTGTGTGTGTGTGTGTGTGTGTGTGTGTGTGTGTGTGTGTGTGTCAGTGGAGGCTACTCAGAGGAGGAAAAGAAAAATAGTGAAACATTAAAAAAGGTGATCCTTTTTAGATAAAACTGTACTAAATATATTCACGTCACCAAATAATTGATTAAAACACACTGTTTTGCAATAAAGGTCTACACTAGCCTCAGCAGCACTCTGTAGGGTAGCACCATGGTGTAGCCAGAGGACAGCTAGCTTCCGTCCTCCTCTTGGTACATCGACTTCAATACAAAACCTAGGAGGCTCATGGTTCTCAACACAGTAATTATGACATCTTCCGGAGGGCGTCCTCCAAATTATCAGAGCTCTTCCAGCATGAACTGACATGTTGTCCACCCAATCAAAGGATCAGAGAATGAATCTAGTACTGAATGCATAAGCTACAGCTAGCTAGCACTGCAGTGTATAAAATGTGGTGAGTAGTTGACTCAAAGAGAGAGAAAGACAATAGTTGAACAGTTTTGAACAAATTAATTTCTTTCAAAATTAAGGAGAAGCAAGAGAGAGAGAACTATATTTCATACAAAAAATATTTCACTTTCACTTACTTAGCTAGCGTCGAATGCAGCTAGCTAGTTTAGCCTACTCAAACAGAGAGGGATGCTATGTTAGCTAGCTGGCTATGGATATCCAACACTGGAACTCTTCCAAGTCAAGGTAAGCTTTGGTTTTATTAATGTATTGCCACCGGGGCCCGCCGGTGTAACTGCTAAACTGCTTGCTGCTGACTGTAAACCGTACTGCATGATGTAGCGGTTTACTAAAGCATTAGTTCTAGTAGCTATGTTGACTATGACGTGACAACGATGTAGGCTGTGTGTAGCGGTTAGCGGTCATGATATGAAGGTTTGGCTTGGAAAGGTTTTTTCATCTTAATAGATGTAAGAAATAATTATATATACAACAAGCTGTTTGTATGTGGCTGCTATGAAAGTGAACTGTGTTTGCGTGTGATCAGGGGTGCATTCATTGCACCAATTCTGTTGAAAAACTTTTCATAAATTGAAGCAAACGGAACGAAACAGGGATAAGCATACCTGAATTTGTCCACTCGAAACTCTCGTTTGCAGATGTTGGACTAATGATTACACCCTAGATCAGCTAGATGTCCGGGACTCTAACCCGGACACTTATAAGAAATCCCGCTATGCCCTCCGACGAACCATCAAACAGGCAAAGAGTCAATACAGGTCTAAGACTGAATCGTACTACACCGGCTCTGACGCTCGTCGGATGTGGCAGGGCTTGAAAACTATTACAGACTACAAAGGGAAGCACAGCCGCGAGCTGCCCAGTGACACAAGCCTACCAGACGAGCTAAACCACTTCTATGCTCGCGTCGAGGCTAGCAACACTGAAGCATGCATGAGAGCACCAGCTGTTCCGGATGACTATGTGATCACGCTCTCCGTAGCCGATGTGAGTAAGACTTTTAAGCAGGTCAACATTCACAAGGCCGCAGGGCCAGACGGATTACCAGGATGTGTACTCCGAGCATGTGCTGACCAACTGGCAAGTGTCTTCACCGACATTTTCAACATGTCCCTGACTGAGTCTGTAATACCAACATGTTTCAAGCAGACCACCATAGTCCCCGTGCCCAAGGACACTAAGATAACCTGCCTAATTGACTACCGACCCATAGCACTGACGTCTGTAGCCATGAAGTGCTTTGAAAGGCTGGTCATGGCTCACATCAACACCATTATCCCAGAAACCCTAGACCCATTCCAATTTGCATACCGCCCCAACAGATCCACAGATGATGCAATCTCTATTGCACTCCACACTGCCCTTTCCCACCTGGACAAGAGGAACACCTACGTGAGAATGCTATTCATTGACTACAGCTCAGCATTCAACACCATAGTGTCCTCAAAGCTCATCACTAAGCTAAGGATCCTTGGACTAAACACCTCCCTCTGCAACTGGATCCTGGACTTCCTGACGGGCCGCCCCCAGGTGGTAAGGTTAGGTAACAACACATCTGCCACGCTGATCCTCAACACGGGGGCCCCTCAGGGGTGCGTGCTCAGTCCCCTCCTGTACTCCCTGTTCACCCATGACTGCATGGCCAGGCACGACTCCAACACCATCATTAAGTTTGCCGACGACACAACAGTGGTAGGCCTGATCACCGACAAAGATTAGACAGCCTGTAGGGAGGAGGTCAGAGACCTGGCCGTGTGGTGCCAGGATAACAACCTCTCCCTCAACGTGACCAAGACAAAGGAGATGATTGTGGACTACAGGAAAAAAAAGAGGACTGAGCACGCCCCCATTCTCATCGACGGGGCTGTAGTGGAACAGGTTGAGAGCTTCAAGTTCCTTGGTGTCCACATCACCAACGAACGATCATGGTCCAAACACACCAAGACAGTCGTGAAGAGGGCACGACAAAGCATATTCCCCCTCAGGAGACTGAAAAGATTTGGCATGGGTCCTCAGATCCTCAAAAAGTTATACAGCTGCACCATCGAGAGCATCCTGACTGGTTGCATCACCGCCTGGTATGGCAACTGCTCGGCCTCCGACCGCAAGGCACTACAGAGGGTAGTGCGTACGGCCCAGTACATCACTGGGGCCAAGCTTCCTGCCATCCAGGACCTCTATACCAGGTGGTGTCAGAGGAAGGCCCTCAAAATTGTCAAAGACTCCAGCCACCCTAGTCATAGACTGTTCTCTCTGCTACCGCACGGCAAGCGGTACCGGAGCGCCAAGTCTAAGTCCAAAAGGCTTTTCAACAGCTTCTACCGCCAAGCCATAAGACTCCTGAACAGCTAATCATGGCTACCCGGACTATTTGCACCCCCACCCCATCTTTTTACGCTGCTGCTACTCTGTTAATTATTCATGCATAGTCACTTTAACTCTACCCACATGTTCATATTACCTCAACTACCTCAACTAGCCTCAACTACTTGACTCTGCACCGGTACCCCCCTGTATATAGCCTCCCTACTGTTATTTTATTTTACTTTTTTATTAAGAAATAAATGCATTGTTGGTTAAGGGCTGTAAGTAAGCATTTTTGTATGTTGTATTCGGCGCAAATAAAATACAATTTGATTTGATTTGAAATGCAGGCAAAAGTGTGCAAGGCGGTATTGAATGTGGCACTGTCTGTCACCTTGATTACTCAAAATTCTATCGACCTGAATAACCTATGTTGTAAACTTTAATTCATAGGCTAGGTTGTAGCAACCTCATGATGGGTACAGGGAAAATGTGATTATCATGTAGTAGCCTAAACCTAACGATGTTACATTTAGCTGGGTGAATGGAATATGAATGACAGTCATCCAATATGCTGTAATAGGCCATGTTCATAAAACAAAAATCAACCTCCCTCATCTTAAACGGCACCGACCGCCACTGGCGTGTGTGTGTGTGTGTGTGTGTACTGTAGGTGTGTGAAGTTCATGTGTCTGTTTGCATGGCATGCACAGTAGGATTGATAAAATTGTAAAATGGTGTGAGTTATTTATTGTATATTATTGGATGGAACCAAATGGTCATTGGTAAGACAAGGCCAAACTAATTAATATTGTGGTATGATATGATCCAGGCTGATATAAATATGAGCCCAGTAAGATTGTTATGAATGTTGAATTTTTCAAAATAATGTTTCATTTCAAGAACATAAAATAGATCTTAATACATTACTACAGAATAGCCTTCAATATACCACTGACTTATGTAACCTTACATAACTGCCTAACTTTCACAGGCCTTAGTTTTCAATAGACTACAACTTCTGCAACAGCAGGGCACATTGTCATGTTGACACTCAATAAACCCCATGGCTTAAATTAATATTTGAGAGACCAACGAGACAGTTCCCCAAGCACATATTAAACATTTTAATAGAAGCAAAATGAGGGCAAAAATTCTTCGCTTTGACATCGATTGAATTTATGACTATAAATATCAGATACTCACCTCTTCCACTAACCAAAACAGAAATATGATTCCACACAGAATTGCCATAATTAACGATATGTCAACTCCGGACAGTAGCTTTGTTCACCTAAACACCGTGATAATCCAAAATTCATCAGACATAGAAATCATTCTTCGTCCATCTCGTCGCATAGTGAGTTCGCAGTTTGGCGGGCCACGACTGTTCTATGTTGATTTCGCGCTGTCAATCGGGGCCATTGGTTGGTGCGGCTTCAGACAGTCAAGCAATCGGAGATGATCTGTTCTTCACAGTTGGATTTGTCACTGGCAATTAGCTTTAGCATCAAATCGTATTGTACATATTATTTTCACAAACGTACGTTTGTTCCCTCTGTACACAGACGTGTAAAGATGATCATGATCCACGCGACACGCCCCTACAGTATCCCTAGGAACACTGCACTCAAGGACGCAGAAGCACTCGCAGACCATTCATTCAGAGCCTTTAAAAAAAAAAAAACATGACAGGCTATGACTCCACCAGTGGCGACCCGTCATTCAGGGCAGGTGGGGCAAAAAATAACAAATAAATAAATACATTTTTTGGGGGTGGGGGTGCTTGCTTGTTTTGCATGTTATTTTGGCATTAATACCTGTCACATATCCGTTTGCAAACATTGTAAAAACTATATATATCATTGAGTTAGTAAAGCCCCATACAAACATGGTCTCTTTTTTGTTTTCAAGTCTAAGGCCAAGTCTACAGTAGACTTCTAAAAATCAAGCCCTTTGGTTGCTGCCATAGAGTTACATTAGAAGTGCCCTTCCAAGAAGGCTCAAGGTCATTGGCCACAGATAAAATTATGTCAAATCACGTTATATGTATAGTAGCTTTGATTGGACTGATCATGTCAACAACTTACTTTCAAAATCTTAGCTAGCAGTCATCATCATGAATCAAGTCGACAATCTACTGGCAAATCCTTTTTAATCCTTGTCATATGAAGAGAAATAATGAAGATAAATTATAGATAAAACGTATCTGTGCTCATCGGCCATTGGACATAAACATTAGTTGGAAATCGCAAATTCAACAATGAGTGGTTTGGAAAAAATTGGTGACAGTGGCTAATTGCAAGCATTGCAACTGGAAAGTCGGGAATAAACGAGCTCCAACTGGGAAAATACATTTTGAACGGTCATCCAACTAATAATTGGGTCTATTTTCACCTCTTAATTTCGCCTACTGTTCTGACTTGGTGGTGCACATGTAGCCTATAACCTGTTTTAGAGACATGGAATCATCTAATATTGTAAGAGCTTTCATTGTTTGCTTATATGCCCCCTTTATTTATCCTAAGGTTCTGACTTGGTGTACAGGGAGAACACTGTAAGAACGGCCCATGTGCTGAATTCTGTCGCTGTACATTTCAAAAGTGCTGAACAAATAGTTATATTGACTACGTCCATCGTAGCTCGCTCATTAATGTCTTAATCGAAATTACGGATTGCCTCTTATCCGCTTGTCGTCCCCTTATGCCATAGTTTGTACATCTCAATTGTCAGTAGAAACCACATTTGTTTAAGCAAGTCAGCCATATCAGCTATGTTTTTATAAAAGGCAGTAAATGAAGCTGAATGAACTGTTACGCTGCCAGACAAGGCTCCGCTGATAGCCAGGTGTAGCAGTGGTTAGGTGTTGGGACTGCTGTTGGGACTCTGCTGTTGGGACAGCTTTATGTAGGCCCTAACAGTTTGTGGGCACCGTTTGTCACCATTATAATGCAATGAATGTATTGTTTAGTGTTGTGTTGTGTAGTGGCTTTGCTGGCATGCATCCCACTTTTGTTTTTGTTTGCCCCACCAATATTTACATGCTAAAATCGCCAATGGACTCCACACTGTCACAACTTCTGTGTCACAACATTTAGATCACACAAATCATATGCAGTATGCAACGCAATGCTATAGAGCCCTCAAACTCAACTCTGGACCTCAAAGCCAGTTCCACTGGGTTATTTCATTGTTCCCTTCTTATCAGGGACTGATTTAAACCTGGTACACCAGGTGGGTGCAATTAATTATCAGGTAGAACAGAAAACCAGCAGGCTCGGGACCTTGTAGGTTTTGTCATTTGTAAGAGTAAAGAGTAATGAATAAAGTATTTAATAAATTAATATATTTTCTGATCTTATTGGTGTGGGTGTGTATTTCCCTTGTCTAAATGTTCCAGGAGTAACCCATAGTGTTCTCTCTGATCACCATCAGTTATTCTCTGTTAGTCTCACAACAGAAGCAGATGCCACAGGCAGGAGCAACACTCATGTCCATCGCCTGGCAACCATATAGCCTGCAGATCAGACCAGTATCATGGCCCTGGGTCCGGGGTGCAACAGCTACCTGTGTGTGCTTGCGAAACATCAATACAGAATACTTATCATGCAGGACTCTACAATGCTTTATTATTGGTGGTTGCCTGCTTAAAGTCATGCGCTGTCAATCGGTGCGGCTTCAGACAGTCAAGCAATTGGAGCTGATCTGTTCTTCACAGTTGAGTTTGTCACTGGAAATTAGCACAATGTCATTTCCGGGCAAGAGTGTCTGCTGGCATCATGCTTGACTGACACTTCTCCCTGGTACCTGTTTAGTAACAGTGTTTACTCGTTAGGTGTGCTTGCTGAACACAAAGCACAACTCTAGATTCCTTCCATAGTCATATTATTAATAGGTGTGCTTGCTGAAGGCAAAGCAAAACTCTAGATTTCTTACATAGTCATATTATTATTAGATTTCTTTAGCCCACTCTAGAACTAAAAGCTCTAGAGCTTAAAGGACTTAAGACTGCCCCAACTCGGATTGCTTGAGAATACATTTTTTTATAGCATTTATACTTTTTGAACTATAACAATATTTAAATGAGCTCCCAATGCATTTCAATGGACGTACTGCCAAATTCTCTAAAACTACATTGGAGGCGGCTTATGGTAGAGAAATGAACATTGCATACTCTAGCAACAGCTCTGGTGGACCTTCCTGCAGTAAGCATGCCAATTGCACGCTCCCTCAAAACTTGAGACATCTGTGGCATTGTGTTGTGTGACAAAACTGCACATTTTAGAGTGGCCTTTTAATGTCCCCAACACAAGGTGCACCTGTATACTGATCATGCTGTTTAATCAGCTTCTTGATATTCCACACCTGTCAGGTGAATGGATGATCTTGGCAAATGAGAAATGCTCACTAACAGGGATGTAAACAAATTTGTGCACCAAATTTAGGAGAAATAAGCTTTTTGTGCATATGGAAAATTTCTTGGCTCTTTTATTTCAGCTCATGAAACATGGGACCAACACTTTACATGTTGAGTTTATATTTTTGTTCATACCTCCATTTGGAATATCTATCGAATTACCCTCTTTGAATCTCCCGTGGCCCGGTGTAGCTCCGGCCTCCCCCCTCAACTTGGTCTCAGAGCATTTCGTATTATTCTGTATGTAAATCTGAGACACTCCATTTAGTATGAAATGTTAAGTTTGGTCCCATGTTTCATGAGCTGAAATAAAATACCTAAGGAACAGGGTCATCTACTCCACCAACACCATAACCAGCTGTCTCTACAGGGTATGACCATCAAGGAGGTCATCCACATTCTCTACCGCCTCGACACCACTAGCGAGGTTCTCCATACCTCTGACGGAGGGCCTCCTACCACGGGTCATCACAGTGAGCCAGTCCCCCAGCCTACCCAGCCATCCAGACTGGAGCCCCCACCACCGAGAGGTCCAAGGTTGCCACGGTAATTTCCCTGCTGATCGGAAGGGCATTGGAGTGGGCTACGACCGTCTGGGAGAGAGGAGAGGAGGAGTCTTTGACCATCCTCCAGTGGGCAAAGAAGGAGGTGAGCGACCTTTCCAACTCCAGCAGGGTGCCCAGACCGCTGCAGAGTACGCCCACACCTTTCGGACTGTGGCAGCCTCCAGCGGATGGAATGAGCTGGCGCTCCTCATTCTATTGCACAGTGGACTGCGCAAAGAGGTGCAGACGGAGTTGGCAATATCGGGATGACAACTTATCCTTGGACGCTCTCATCGCGATGGCCATCCGTCTGGATAACCTTCTTCGGGCGCGCCGGTGTCCACCTCGCCACTCACCTCCCTCCTTTGGCTGTCCTGAGGCAGAGCCTGAACCCATGGAGGTAGGGGCCACACACCTCTCTGCGGAAGAGCAGCGCTGCTGGAGACAGCTGGGGCTCTGTCCCTATTGCGGCCAGGATGGGCACCAGCTTCAGTGGTGTCCGGTGCGTCCCAACCCAGGGTCTACTAGAGCAGAGGGGCGGCCCCATGACCTTCCGTCTCCCTGGGTAGCCGTGAGTATTCCATTATAATTTTTTCCCGCCAAACCCTTTCTGGTTCCCATTTCACTGGCTGGCTGTCCCTCAAGTGTTGTCTCTACAGCTCTAGTGGACTCCGGTGCCATGGGGAACTTTATCGACCAGGCCTTCGCCTCCTCCCTGAAATTAACTTCATACCCACTCTCCTCTCCTTTTCCTTTCCAAACCTTGGATATGTGACCATTGGGATCTGGCACAATTACACCAGTCACAGCACCACTCACCCTCACGTGAGACCCAAGCACCAGGAAAGCCTTCCCTTCCTCATCATCACCGCACCCGTACACAAAGTCATCCTCAGCCTCTCATGGCCCCAACTTCATAACCCCCCCATCTCCTGGTCAAAGATGAGAATCACCACCTGAGGACCAGGAGGCTGGAGGACCTGTTTTCCCACACCCTGTGGTTCCACGTCGGTGGAGGGTCCTGTGAGTGTCCTCAAGCCCATCAATCGGTCCTCCTGTATCATTGGCCCCGTGTTTTGGGACGTAGATGTGGACATCCGCCAGGCTCAGGAGAGGGAACCTGCTCCTGCCACCTGCCCTCCAGAGTGCATCTACGTCCCTACGGGGGACCTATTGACCTGGGCACACACATCCCTTGCCGCTGGACATCCAGGTATCACCTGCACCATCCAATCCCTCTCCGATAAATACTGGTGGCCCACCTTGGTGCAGGACGTCGTCCACTATGTCAACTCATGTTCGGTATGTACTCAATCCGGGCTGACTCCCTTCCAGTGCATCCTGGGATATCAGCCGGCCCTGGCTCAGTGGACTCCGAGCCAGACCGAGGCCCATGCAGTGGACAAGTGGTTCCGGCGCACAGAGGAGGTGTGGAATGCCGCCCACGTGAGGCTCCAGCGCGCAGTCCACCGTCAGAAGGATCAGGTGGACCGCTACCGCAGTGAGGCTCCCGTGTTCCATCCAGATGATCGCGTCTGGCTCTCCACCAGGAACCTCCCGCTCCGCCTGAGCCCCTGGTTTGTGGGGCCCTTCAAGGTCCTCCGGAGGGTCAATGAGGGTCTATTGTTTAGAGCTCCCCACCAACTACTGGATCTCACCATCCTTTCA